TGTTGCAACAGTTCAGGATGGATTTCAGCCAGCAACAGCCTCAAGAGCTGCTGCACAACCACCGGGAATGTCTTCAGTTGGGCACGTGTAGTTTTGGTCGGCGGGTCGAGCAAGTACGCAATGCGCACAGAAACCAAGGTGCAGCATTCTGTAACATCGCCAACATATCCGGTACACGGTGGCAGGCTTGCCGATCACGAAATGAAGGGGGGGTCGCATCTCACCATTCAACTAAGCATGCATGTGCTCGGTTGAATGCTCGGTAGCGTGCGAGTTTACCCCTATCAGGATGTTTGTTTGCATATCCCTCCAAGCGAGAGGGCTTGGACCTATGCTGATGTTCGTTCCAAGAAGTGAACTGAGGACTGATGCTACGGTGAAAGATTTGCATGTAAATTCGCCCGTGCAATAAAACGCCCTGTAACTCGCTTACGCTAATCTCACATTCCAATATGCCACTGCACCTTCCTCTCCAGCCTGGCCACATTCTCTTCCTCGCAAACGTACTTGGGCACCTTACAATCCAACACCATACGGGCTTTGGAAACACGGGCAGCTGCTTCACAAGGACCCCCCTATTTGCCCATCGCCATGATGGAAGGTACTGTCTGGAGAATACGAAGCAATGTGTGTGTACTGTACAGTTGGAGTTGAATGTTTATGGCTAGGATCCAGGGAGGTTGTACTTGGTCGTCAGTTTTGAGGCTGCTTGAGAATAAAGCTCGCAGGGAGGATGGACAGGAAACACACTTAGGGTAGATAGTTTCCTAGCCTACGTGGGCCCTGTGTGCCTTAGTGCGCCCGATCCTCGCTTACATGTAATTTCCTTTTCCTAGGTGATACTTGCTCGTCTTGCTATTTCCTATGGTTTACCCATGTATCCATCGAAAGCAACTGCCCTCCTGCCACTCTCTCCGTCAAGCTCAAACAGACGGGAGGGGACGACTTGGACCATTTCAGTTATGCAGATGCAGTTCACATTATAAGAAACAGGATCTAGTCACATAACTAAGTATGACATGGCATAACAACTTTCTAACCCAGTCTGAACGGTAGAGCTGGAGGAGCTGGGATTTGCTCGTCCTCCTACACATACAGCAGTATCCTAATCGCCAAGCATTGCAGTGCATTAATCTTAATACAGCACCAGTGTACTAATCCTGATCCTGGATATGGGGTATTTATCCATATCCTAGGGGCGGGGTTCTAATCCTAATCCTGTGGGTGAGGTCCCAATCCTAATCCTACACTAGGGTCCTCATCCTAAACCTGCCCTCAACTTTGTATCCTAATCCTGCCCCTCTTTCCGAATCCTAATTTCTGCCTGCCCTATGGCATAAACATGCCGGTTACCGACCGTTTGGGGCCCATTAACCCAACCGGCCGGTTGAATGGCGTTAACGGCCCGGTTGGGTTAACGGTCGGTTGGGTTAACGGTCGGTTGGGTTAACGGTCGGTTGGGTTAACGGTCGGTTGGGTTAACGGCCGGTTGGGTTAACGGCCGGTTGGGTTAACGGCCGGTTGGGTTAACGGCCGGTTGGGTTAATGATCAGTTGGGTTAACGGTCGGTTAATTGGATTAATGGTCAGGTGGGTTAATGGTCAGGTATTCATCCTACCTAGCACCCTGCCTGCATGCCTACACACCTGGGACAGTACTGTTATCACTGCCTCCCACATCATCTTGGCACCATGCCATTAAGCATATTCATATATGATTCAGGTATATACCTAAAATACCTAAATTTATCCTTGTCCATGTGTGCACACCACTGTCACCCGTGTCACCTGGCATTCCTTGACTGCACAAGGCCATCACACCTGTCACCTGTAATCTGCATAAACCTTCCTGCACAAGGCTGTCACCCCTGTCACCCGGCATTCACAACAATGTTTGTGTCATCAACGTCAGCGTCACCACCCGGCATTCACAACAATGTTTGTGTCACCAATGCCACCAATGTCAAGCAGCATTCACACAAGCCTGCACGCTTTGTTGTCACGCAGCATTCACACATGTGTACCCAATTTGTCAGATCTGTCACCTGGCATCCACACAAGCCTGCGCGCAATGTTGTCACCCCTGTCACCCACCATCCACAACAGCCATCACGCAATGTCACCCCTCTCACTCGGCCTTTCAATGTATTATGGGCCCAGAAGTCCCACTCTCAAGCCTGCGCGCATTATTGTCACCCCTGTCACCCAGCATTTCATGCAATTGTCGCCCATAAGCATAAACCAGGCCACCAACTCACAAGCTTAAATGCAACAACTTAAAGGCAATACTAGCTACACAAGCTATGCTAGCCCCTGCCCCTGCCCCTGCCCCTGGGGGGCTTTGCTCCAAGCCCTTTCCCTTGCTCCTGGCTGCCTCGCCCCCTGCTTCTGCCCCTGCTGGGGGTCTTAGCTCCTTCGACACACAGGCCGTACGCGCCAGTATCCACTAACTCTGGAGCAGAGGTAGAAGCCTTTACCCTCTTTGCCGGCTGTCCCCTGGCAGACTGCTCCATCACCACAGGCCTGTTACCACTTGGGCGCTTAGGGTGCTGTTGCACACTCCGCTGCTTTCCACTTCCACCCACCGTCTTCTCATCCAATTCCTCCTCAGACAATTCGGACTCACTCTCCTCCCCCTCCCCTGTGTCAACCTCACCCTCTTGCTGGGTGCACTCCGGGCTACTACCCTCACTCTCATACTCCTCCTCATCCTCTGACAGTAGACGCGTCTCTTTTCGTATCCGTGCGAATGCCGGCTCTGGAAGCAGGCGCCGGCGGCTAGGTTCATGCAACTGGGCAAGAGTGTCGTCCATCCAATCATCCGCCGGTTCCTCTCCTACAGTTCCTGTCATCACGTCCACCTCCGGTCCCATATCGGGCACACCATCTCCTTCTGTGGGGTTGACCTCCAACTCCCCACCTGCAGAGTGTTATACAATAGTGAGGTGATACAGTACATAGGACAATATACTAGTTTTCGAAGGGCCTTACCCGCGGGTCCAGAGCAGTAGGGGCCCTCATGGTCGGTCTTGTGGATGATTTCAGCACTATGAACTTATTTCAGAATACAGGACTGACTCTCTGTTTCCTGCTTGAACTATGTATGGAAGGGGCAAACCGCTGTAACTTGTGCGTGTTTCTGCTAAGTTTTCCGCACTGTTGCATTCTCAAAGCCATTCTTTCGTAAAACCGTCATAAGAATGCTTGAGACTGGCATAAGATCATTCTCAGCAGCACCAGCATTCTTAAGCCGTTCTTAGCATTCTTAGCGTTCTCAGGAACGTTCTTTAGCACGCTTCCATTTTGGTAGGGGGACACAGTGATGCTAAATGGAATGTCTTCACAATATACGGCTAAAGTAATTTAGCCAAACAATTTAGTGGCTCCTGTATTTCAATTTCGATTTGTGTGTACGGTCATCGTACCTATCTATGAGTAATTTTTAGCATTACTCATACTACATTCTCATCTTAGATATCTCAGTATTAATTTCATTTTGGCTCATGCCAGGTTACCGACATCGGTTACCGATTACTGGGGACGGTTAACGGATAACGGTTCGCCCGGTAATCC